GGTGACCACCTAATTTGAATTTAAAAAGTTTCACTTTAATTCAGTCAATTGCCTCGAAAAAAGAGATGCGCTCTGTTATTTTTTCACGCCGGCCAATCTGAAGACCGACTGTCGATCCGCCATAATAGCAATAACGATATCTTATCCATGGTCTCTCATCGCGTGCCGCCACGGGTGGGTCCGTGGCGGTTCACCTGCAATTCCGTATCCGCGCTGTCGTTTCGCAGGTATATACAGTGCCGCGAAAGACTATACGCGGAGTCCGCGGCGAAGACCGACCGGCAACATTCTGATGTCGCGCGCTCTCTCTCTCTTCCTCTCGTATTCTCTACCCCCCCCCCCCCTTTGTCCCACTCCCTTTCTCGCCTCCGGTTCTCTCTCTGGAGAACCTCACTTTTAAGTTAATAACGCAATTACTGCCTCCTGCCGCAAGACGCGCGCGCCTCTCCTTGCCGCCTTGTCCGTAACTTCTCCCTTTCTCTTCTCGTTTTCCTCCCTTTCCTCCTCCCACTCTTGGTTTCCTCATCTTCGCATTTTCTCGGTGTTAATACAGATGCCGGCACTTTTGATGCCGCGAAATAATTTTGTCGCATGCCGGTGGTTGCCTATAGAATGAAGTCTTGCTCCTTCTTGTACTTTGTTGTCTTTTTTTAGCCTCTTCTTACAACAGCGGTTCATTTTCTCATTAATGATTTTGAAAACGTGATATTGTTTATCACTAATCTCTTTAATACAACGCGTTAAATTAACTTTAAAATTTTTCCGTAATTTATTATTAATTTAAAAAAGAAGACTGCATAAACCGGACTTGAAAAAGAATTTTTTCTTTTAAAATATGTACATTTTTCAGGAAAAGTAATTTTGTAAGAAAAAAATGTCGAATGGTTTTAAATACAGTATTTCATGGATTGAGAATCGCTATACTAGACACGCTAAATATTTGAGCGATACAGTATATGTCATTTGGAAATATAAAGAACAGGAAATAAAAAGGAAATATGGGGAAGCTATCGGAGAAAGGTTGTGACAACATGGTGCTGCAATAAATCCGGGTACAGTCATCGTTTATAACACGTGTGTGTTCAGCGTACATTGCGCTTTTGCGATTATTCGTCCACGGCAGTAAATACGTTGCGCGGAACTTTATGACTCGACACGCTGCCATTTCACACGCGCGATTATAACGTCTTCGTCCAGTTTGAAAATGATTTAAGTAACATTCAATATCCACAGTAGACGTGGACGTTGTGTGCATCGTTAACATTTACCGATTTGTGACTAGCTTAAAGCGAGGAAATCGGAGTAACAATCGCTGTTGTGCAATCTTTTTATCACGATGTAGCTAACATGTGTCATTACACGGATTTCTTGTATTAATTTTCTGACATATTACCTATTTTATTTTCATTCCAGAAAAACCTTCGTTATAAAATAGAAAAAATAATGAGAGAGAGAGAGAAGCCGAGATGTGAGAATGGTAATCAGATGTGGCGAACGATCATAACGCTGAGCCTTTATGAACTGGAAAAGTTTACGGGGGGATGTTAGAATCTCATAGAAATCAGAATCGCCGTAAGGAGGCTCTAAACGGAGAAGAGATTATCTTGCATTGCAGTGAAAAGCACGTGCCTTAAACGCCGCGTAAGGAAGGCCAACGTTGCCTCACTGCGGAGAGCGCATGATGCAGATCGTCGCGCAGATTGTTCTCATAGGCCAATTAATTAAAAGCTTTTTCTCTCTATGACGTAATAAGCCGCGTAACAGTTGAACATACGGGGAAATTACTCCTAGAAGGGTTACTAACTAACTAACGAGGGTTAGTTAGGGTACTATAGATTGATTGATTCACGAAAAAAAAGAAAAAGACAAAATCGATTAAAATTTATTTAACATTCATATTTTGGTAGTTTTCAAAGAAATGAGTCATCGAATATCAGTTTTAATATGTACTGCGAAATTATAAAAAGCTCGCGCGGGTTTCAATAGGATATCGAATTCTGAATGTAAATGGAAAAGAACGGCAAATAAGATGCAAATACGAAGTAAGGAAAAGTTACATTTATTATTAAAGTTTATTTTCCATCACAGATAACACAGTTACAGTCAGATTATGCGTAGTATATAACACTGTCTATCTCTTTATAGTTTCAGTAACTAAGACAATGCGAATAATTTATATCCGTTTATCATTCCTCTATCAATGCAAGGGCATAACGAATGTTTATTCGTCGTTATTTATCCTCAATTTCATACATATCGATGCATATCATGCGCGGGAAGCAAATCATAACGATAAATTATACGATTGAGTAATAACATATACAACTCTGTTTCGCAAGTCCATAAATTTATGCATACAAGTCTTCGAAAATGTCGAATATGTGGCAGGGGAGTGTCATTAGACGGTTGTGCGAACAGACGTTATAAATTGCATTACGAATCGCATTGTAAAGCGTCGTATAATCATGTTACGTTCATTCGGCTCGGTATAGAGCTAATATCGAAGACGAGGCATGTCGGAAATGACGATGTCAGGAAAGTATCGAGAGCAAATCGTCGTAACTATCGTGGCATCGCAAGCACCCCTAAATGCGAAGCAATTTGATGATAACTCTCTTCCTTCGCGATCGTCTTCTGCTCGTACATCCAGAGGATTTTTCTCCTTCGTGGGGCTTCGTATGCTGTGTTGTGCAGCGCGTGTGTTTCTGAACCAACATTAGATCACCACGGCCGGCATAGAGAACCGTGTACAGGGTGTACCGATGCTATTTCGACGATCGTGACCGATTCTCTATGTAACAATTGGAGCGGCTTACTACAACTCGATAGCGTAGTTTTCAATTGACATTCGATCGACCGTTACGCAAGAATTTACAGTCTCAATTTTAAAGAGAGATATACTTTCTAAAATATTTGAAGTAGTATCAAAAGAGTGACGAGCCAATGTTGTCAATTTTTAAGAGTGAGGTTTTATTCTTTAGTATTAGATTTCACTCCCAAAGATTTTTTCGAGAGTATAGGAAAAAATCTAAACGTCTTATATAGTCTCTTGTGGCTCATGGGCGATTAATAGCACAGTTGGAAAACGAATCATGTATCCGCGATATTTGATTCCGTTCTATCTTGCAGTTTTAAGTTCCGCCAGACGTGCACACGTCGCATTTTACGCTTAAAATGGAGTCACGACGAATAAAGGGATCTATTACCTCAACCTTCAACTAGTATTCTCTTTTTCAAGTAACGTGACCGGTGTCACGGGGTCAGCGTTGACCCCTGGCCTAGGGATCAGGCACTTTTACCGTGTCGTTCGCCGTAGCATCCGATGACCCCTGTGTATCAAATAGCGTGGTAAATACGGTGTCTCGGTTTATTGTAAGTCGTTGAAGAGGTATATATAATCATTGTTACTAATAAAAAATGTTGCTTTTTGTATTGTCGTTTATATATAATTATATTTTTAGTCGTGAAGAATATTTTAATATGTTATTAACACGCGTATATTTTACTCGTATAACATTCTCTAGTCAATGCGATTCACTGAATAACTTCTTTTATAATTGTGCCGTAGTAATTGTTGTTGCAAAATATAATATTAATTTTTATAATTTAAATTTCTTTCACCAGTATATCTATAATATTTAAAAAACGCGGATGTTCTCTCTTTGAAAAACAATAACGATTTTCAATAGAAAAAAGTTACTGCATTCAGTTAAAAGAATGTCTGTACGATCGATTATTCGAGAAATAAAAATAAAATGTAATAGAGCGTAATAAAATATAACGAACAAGTAAAAGTGCAAACGTTGCGACTTTGAGTATCAAAGAATCGGATCGGAGAGTAGCTGGTGTGAGGTCGTACCGGGACACCCGGTATGCCCTGGGTACACGGAGCTTGGACCTACGGAGCGAACGGGCAACTTCGGAGAGTCTGACCTCTGACCCAGGAGTTCTCTCCCCGTCCTCCTCTTCACGGATCGCGTTCCTCCTCCCCTCCATCCTTCTCCTCCCTTGCCATGCCACGCGGTGCATACTCCGCTTTATACTTGCGCTTTAAGCACCGTGGCCTCTTTTAAATAGCGGGCCTCTGCCGGGGCTATCCACGACGTCGTCGAGCGTTACGGATTCCCTCGGTCCTCGGGACGAGACAATAATAAGACGATAACGATCGCCCGCGCGCACAGCTCAACGAAAAAATTACACCGAATCATATAATAAGGATGTGCAAGGCGATCGGCATTGACTTGAATTTATGACGATTTCGTTTCTCCTTCGATCTGTCATCTTTTTCTTTCTTCAAGTTCAAATTGTTATAATGAATCATACTTTATATATACGAAACACACACCATTCAAGGAATAAATGATTCAAGAACAATTCTCTGTTATTATTCTGATGACAAGAAAATTGAATCTGATTGTATAACTCACAGCTTCATATTGTTTGAAAAGTACGGACGTTAATTTTAAAACTATATAATTTAGTGTAGCCTGTATAATACTTTTAAAACTAGGTAAATCGAAATTTCTAGAACGAAATTATAAATAAAAAACAAATATATAAATAATTATACAAATCAATATCGATTGTTTTTTGTATAATATCCTTTTTTGACTCCAGCAACAATTTTGACTGCATAATTCGTCATTAACATTCGATGACGTCATAAATATACTTTTATATAATATTCTATACATAACATACCTAAATTTATAGCGTTTTATTCTACCGTTTACGTTTACATAAGTTTTTATAAATTTATGATTATATTATTGTTCTCAGTGAATTTATAAATTCGAATCTAGAATATCCTAAGTGAGTCTAAAATTGTAGATTAATTAGGAATGGAGCGTCACAAGTATGTCACAAGTATTCCTCGTCTTGTTGCTGTTCTAATGACAGTTAAGTCAATTTAAACCACGAATCAATATTTATATGCCTACAGAGAATCGTATACTTCCTTCAACCTTTCCTCGATCTTTCCTGATCAGTCTTCGCTAATACTTCTCGGTGAAACAACGTTATATTATATCTAGCGATATTTTGTGATATATAAAGCGAATGTATTATACCATACATTATGGGAAAACGTTCCTGGGAGTGCCAATATTACACAGAAAACAATAATGTTAAAATATGCATTATTTGTGCATATAGCTTTTATAAAAACGAGCCAATAGTAAATTTACGGAACCATATAATCTCTTCTCATCCAACCGCGGAAGGAGTACAAGAAATAATACAAAATAAACAACAAAAGACAACTGTACAAGAGACATCAGACAAATTAATACTCAGGTTAAGAAGATCAAACATTTTTATATATTTATCGACTATTTTGTATAAGTATTTTTTATATTATAAACATTCAAGTTCGATTGTCCACTTAGAGCTAATTATATCCCTTCGGTCTTCTATACAGAGCTAATTATATCAAACGTTGATAGTTTGTTACATTTTTTATCTATTACTTAAATTTAATTTGTGATCTAATATCTGATGTAATGAAGGAAATTTTCTCGATACTCGAAAACTCGGAATTAGTTAATATTTCGAATATTTTCGCCCGGATTTCAATGAACATACGAGATGTGCTTGGATATTCAAATCGAACGGTAAGAGTTCTAATTAAAATTCATTACATCGGAAAAAATTAATTTTTAGATATAAATGTAACGAAATATCGTGATACGTTTCGTACAAACTACGTCCGTACGGATACGGCAGTCCCATTGAGCGGATCAATTTTATTTTTCAATATTTCATATCGCGACTATCCAGTCGTAGGGAGTAGACGCCGCGGAAAAAAAGTTAGCGCAAACCAATCAGCATATCGATATCAAATTTTAATCTCGTACCCTGTGTATCCGGATAGGATATCGACGTTACGATCTGATCGCGAAACTATCCATTTCACGGAATGAACAAATTTTTTATCATCTCGTGAACCGATCTCCTTCCTTATCTGTTTCAGGACAGAAATCCGTTCAGAAAATAGGCGATCAAACTGTCTAGTTTAATAAAAAAATCTGTCAGTTTATACAATAATTCCTATCAGAAAATGCTTTTTACGATTATTATATACATAAATATGATTGTAGGAAATAAAGGGAAACTAATTATTATATAAGTATATAAATTCACACGTAATTTTATAGAAGCACCGTGATCCAGCTTAGACCGCTACGGCTTGTTCTCTTTCGGTTTGAATTTTCGCGGTCCGATAAGAATTGATTTCGTCTAATTATAAGTCATCTATTGTTTTTATTCACTCCTTTTTCGTGCCTGGTTAATTACAAATATTTATTTGTGCCTCTTAACGTTGCTAGCTCATAGAATACGCAGGAGATGATTGATCGTAAACTAGATCAGGAGGTTCGGTTCACGAAGTTGACTTCGCAAAACGATTGGTTTCGTGAACAGGACGTAGTGCCGATAGCAAATTAACTCCCGCTCGATGCGCAAATCGAGCGGGAATCCGGCTTACGTGTTGCGTGCGGATCCGCGCACGGGGTTCTGCCTTCGCGAAGTTTCTTGGAAAATTGTCGCGAATTAAATGCCATTAAATTTACGATTTGCGCGCCGGCGATTACGCAGCTCGCCGTCGAAGTAAAGGGAGACGTGCCTGGCCGTTACCCACGGCGGTTACCCTCTGGTAGCGTAATAACAGGGGAGGCCTCAAATTGTGGTCTCGCCCCGATATCCTCCCACATCTAGGTGGACTACTCGAGAATTTATCGGACGAATCGATCATGGCGCCAACAACGTCCGTAACCAAACTAATTTAGGTAGCTTTATGTGAAGCTTTAATTGAATACCGCGATGGTAAATTAATGAAAAACTTAAGGCTAACGAGTATACAGAAGCGATCGAGATTTGTTTCTTTACGTGTTCAACAATGTCAATATTATTTATTGAAAAACTATTAATAATTATATATTTATTGTTGATTAATAATTATTATTATACTAACATTGCGATACATTTCATCATAGCCAAATTAAATTTAACTAGCGTACTTCATATGATGAAGCGGGGCCCGCGATTGTAGGTATTTGTAAATTGCAAGAAACGATAATTCAACAAATTGAATACCGTATCGCGAACGTTATTTCACGCTATTTTCTGCGACTCGCAGTTCCTCTTATGCAGGACGCGCAAGAAACTCCTGTCTCTACGGCTGTTCCGCGTTTCAGCTTCGTTGTCCGCGCCGTTTTTAGTCGTAGTAGGAGAAACCGCACGTTGGTTCTTTGAACTATGCAATTACCTCGGTTTTGTCTTGCGACTTACTGCAGGGAGAATCATTGCGAGATCGAGCGACGGCGGCGGAACAAGATGACCGCCTACATTACGGAGCTCTCCGACATGGTGCCGACCTGTTCAGCCCTGGCCCGGAAGCCCGACAAACTCACGATCCTGAGGATGGCGGTGGCGCACATGAAAGCTCTCAGAGGTGAGTAACTTTTTCATGCCATACGAAATCTTATTTGCAACAATGACCTCTTTGTTTTTTTTTTCTTCCATTACTTATCTGATGAATTTAAAACGACTTCGAATTAAATTGTTCTCTTTTAAGATAAACTTTTTATTATAAATTTATTTTAATTAACTAAATAGATCTTTAATTAATTAAACCAGTAATGCGCTACCTTTTTAGGACCATTTTCAGAAATAGGCAAAATCTAGCAAGCTGCGTAAGATTTATTTCATTTGCATTTTAAAGTGAAAATATAATTTTATATTTCCAGTTATGGGTTGTAAAAAATTCACAATATAGGTCGCATCGCGGGTATGTTAAGTTAGCACCCCGACTATAGTACTCAGGAGTTCTGATTAGAGTTTCCACTTCCTTTTGACGAGACGAAGAGTTCCCTATAGTTAATAACAAGAAGTTCCGCTCAATAAACATTCTTTTTACATTTTTTAAAAATGGGGTGCTAACTTTTTATCGAATTTCGAGGTGGAATAGTTCTGAGCGGCTTAATAGCTTCAATTTGCGATTGCCTAGAGTTCCTGATATGTAAAAAAAATTTTCGAATAATAAAAAAAAA